GGCTTGGTCCCCAGGGTGGTGGTATTGAGAGGTTCAGTGTACCCTTATCAGGTGGAACCTAGTGAGAGGTGCTTAGGTCATGGTAGGGAATGCCCCAAAGGTGACTGCTGGATCCAGGCCATCCTCTCTCTGCTTTCTCTAAGGTGCTTTTGCTACCCCTGGAACAKAGACCTTTCTTGACCTCATAAGTAGCTTGTATCGCATATTTCATTGTAGTAATTCAAATTTCTGAATAATCTGATATTTTTGTTGCTAATCTCCTGACCAAATGGCTCGACCATTTACATTGGTTCAGGAATAAATAGAGACACAGCAAGACATATCAGATGGGGTAACTCAGTTATCACCACTGCAGCAACTCAGTGCCCTGGGTGGGGTATCCTTATCCACTTTTGAATGAGGAGGCCTCTACCCAAGGGGCAGATGATACCAGTGGCCTGGTAGAATCCATCACCTTTCAGTTGCCCAGAACCACTGATAAACTAGACCATGAATTCATCCATTCTTCGTCAAATTGTTTCTATCTCCCCCAGGTAGCTATGAGAGAGGCCAGGGCATCTCCTATGAGATGCTTTCTGGCCACCTGCTTAGGGGTCCTGACCTATCTTGGATTTTTCGTTTTTGGTACTGGAGAGTGAATCCAGGGGTGCTTAACTACTGAGACACATCCCAAGACTGGTGGGTTTTGGCATTTTATTTAGAATCAGGATCTCACTGAGTTACTTAGGGCCTTGCTAAGTTGCTGAGGCTGGCTTTGAACTCACAATCCTCCTGCCCCTGTCTCCCACGTTGCTGGGATTATAGGCATGTACCTCAGCAACCAGCTAATGGGTAGTTTTATTAGTGGGATTGGTAAGTACACAGAAAAGGATGGGAAACTCAGGTCTCAGAGTTAAATGAGATGCTTTTCTGGTGAGACATTCCATCTCCATCAGATTCTAGGTGCAAGTGAGATGCTCCCATATTTCTTTTTAAAAAGACTTTGTAGTTATAAAATATGTTTTATTTGTTTATTTTTTTATGCAGTGCTGAGGATTGAACTCAGWGCCTCACATGTGATGGGCAAGTTCTCTACCACTGAGCCACAAACCCAGCCCCAAAGGGCATATTTCTAGGAAGGTTCAGGCCACGGGCATTTTCCAAATCTGCACACCCCAGTTGACAGTTTCCTGCTGTCGCAGATTCCAATCAGAATGCATAAGGGTTGTGGACACCTATATTTCCATTGGTCTAGAAGGCTGCAACAAAGTCTCAAAGGCAGTGAGTGACTCCACCATGGCCTGTTGAATGGCTTCCAGTCTTGATGTTGAGCTTCAAAGATGGCTGCCTTTCATGTCACCTTGAAATATCACCAGAAGCTATCTAGATGGAGCATGCACTATCCTCAGTATCAGAAGAGGCCTACGTGCTGTTGTGCTTCCTTCTTATTACTGGGTACATTCAGGAAGAGGAAATTCTGTTTAACTTTCTCTAGAATATTCTGTTTTTCCTTTCCTCGTGGCCCAAAGAAATTTCAGCAACTTGGGAGGCTGAGGCAAGAGGATTRCAAGTTCAAGGCCAATCTCTACAACCTAGTGAGACCCTGTCTCAAAACAAAATATAAAAGGGGCTGGGGATGTGGCTCCATGGTTAAGCTCCCTTAGGTTCAATCCCTGGTACCAACAAAATTCATTTAAAAATGCAAAATGTAAAAAGAAGGGCTGGGGATGCAGCTTGGGGATAAAGTACCAAAAAAAAAAAAAAAAAAAAGAAAGAAAGGTCATCTTCATAAAGTATGACCAAAACTTGTGACAAGACTTGGGCTTGCTTTAATCAAGCCCCACCCTTTGACAGAAAGCTGGGAGTTAAGGTGCCCCTATGGGAGGACAGTAAAAAGTAAATTGCAAGTCATTCTATGTAAAGGCACACTGATATTGATCTTCCTCCTTCAGGGAAATTGAGAGAAAGGYGTTGACCAAGTCTATGGTAGCATACCAATCTCCAGTACTGGCCACCTCTTCTTGGTATGGTGATAATGTTTGATGCTACAGGGCCTTGGCATCCAGCCTGCAATAGTCTGTTAGCCTCCATGCCTGGGAGGCTTTTGACTGGCCGTGCTGGGGTGTTAAGTGGTCTGAAGCACTTCTGCTTACCCAGGTCTTGAAAGGATAATGGTTATCTCTCAACAGAGACATTGTATTGCTTTTGATAGGTCATATAAATTATAAACCTTTTCATTGATCGCCTCTATATAAGTAAGACCTATATGGTATTTTTTTTACAATCACACTTGTTTTTAAACCTCTTCCTCTTGTCACTCCTTTCCTCATCTATCCTCTCTTCTTGCACAAGTAACTACTAGAATGAACTTCAGAAGTATGTATATGTATTTTTAAAAAAGTATCAATATAGGCTGGTATGATGACACATACCTGTAATCCCAGTGAATACTGAGGCAAAAGGATCACAAGTTCAAGGCCAGTCTCAGCAACTTAGTGAGACCTTGTCTCAAAACAAAATATAAAAAGGGCTGGGATGTGGCTTTGTGGTTAAGAAACCCTGGGTTCAATCCCTGGTACCAAAAAAATTCATTTAAAAATGCAAAATTGTACATTAAAATCATATATTAAATATGTGTGTGACAACACATGATATAATTTTAATATATCATATTATTATAAATTTATATAAATCTCTTTTGGGAAAACCTGATGAAGATTTTTGAAACCAAGAATGGCTTTCAAGGCAATATGAAAGACGGGTTTTTATTATTTTWAAAAATATCTTTAYTTATCTATTTTTTTATGTAGTGCTGAGRATCAAACCCAGCATCTTGCATGTGCTAGGTGAGTGCTCTACCGCTGAGCCCCAGCCCCATGAAAGTTTTAATAGGTTCTGGGGTCTCTGGAATTGATTATCTTCTAATATGATTTCAAGKCACTAGCAACTCTACTTTTCAGTGATGACGAGGGCATTGATAGTACATGGCAAGATGTAGCAAGAAATAAGAAGCATATCACCATTGGATATTTGTAATCAAAAAAGGCAAGGTTCTGAATGACCATGTATTTGATACCTTTGAATATTTTGGCCCAACTAATGAGTATGATGAAACTGAGGGATTGTTCCTAACTGGGCTGGACAAAGTGAAGAAAGAAACCCTTGACCTCAGGGCTTTAAATGACTAGCTCAAAGTGCAGCATAAAATGATGTGAAAATTTCTATCTATCCTGAAAGAAACCTCATCTCCTATAGTTGGAGAGCCAAACCATGTGAAAACCAAACCCAGAATCTTAGCTTCCAGATGACTGAATGATAAAGCAAGTTGAATGCCCAACCTTCTTCCAACAGGAAGTGAGCTTTGCACATTCACTGGGCCCTTACCTGGAACAAACAAAATCTGTACCTGTGATGCTGGACATGGGAATTTGACTTGGTGACGGCAGAAGTGAAGGTAAGTCAGGCAAGTGAGCATACAGGCAAGACCCTTATTAGGGCTCTACTTGAGAGGGAGACCCAGTACTGACAGCAGAGGATCAGGCTGGCATTGGGTACAAAGGGAGAGTTAGTTTTATTCATGTGAAAGGGAGGGCTGAGGTTTAGGAATGTTCCTTGGCTTTAGGTACACTGCAAAGGTGTTTTTCTTTTCCTGTGAGGGCACCTTAACTGAGCAAGGCAAAGTYAGTAGTTTTTCCTGGAGCCAAATGTTAGTGTCTATGTCAATGCTGCATCCTGTATAAACCTCTCTGCCTTGTGACAAGAATGAGCTGCTGTAGCTGTTCAGAGAACACATAGGTGGGAAATGGAAGTACCAAATCATGGCAAGTAACAAGTGAAGGGCCCTGGGAATTTTACATTCTGATGGCCCCTCAACAGTTTTTATTCCTTTTGTTGTTTGTCCTCAGAGTCATGGCCAGAGCATCCTGGCTCTAATGGTGCACTTGTTCTCTGAAACTGATGAGGTTGATTGATAGAGATGGTTTGTAAGGCACACATGAAGTTGGTTTTTCTTTTCTTTTCTTTCTTTCATTTTTTTTTTTTTTTTTTGGACTGGAGATTGAACCCAGGGGCACTTAGTCACTGAGCCACATCCCCAGTCCTTTTTATTTTTTTATTTTGAGACAGGGCCTCACTAAGTTGCTGAGGCTGGCTTTGAACTTGTGATCCTCCTACCTTAGCCTCCTGAGTTGCTGGGATTACAGGTGTGTGCCACCACACCATGCACATGAAACTTTTAATAGCAAACAAGCTTTAAGATAGGGTCTTGTTAAATTTCTGAGGCTGGCCTTGAACTTGTGATCCTCCTGCTTTAGCCTCTTGAATTGCTAGGATCACAGGCAAGCACCACCGGCTGTACAATCTTTCAGTGGCTGTCAGGTCATAACTTAAGGCCTGGGAGTGCATTTGTATTTTGTCCCTGTATGACTGGTCTCTAATTGTCTGATCTGAACCCCCATTTAAGAATCTAGAAACTGAAAAAAGCTTTGTTGAGATATACTGAAACTGCTCCTGCTCTGATGCTGGTAACTACCATGTCCTGACATTAAAATATTAACTGATGGTCTCTTCCCCCACTCCAAAACCATCCCAAATGTAGGTGAACTTTTTTCTTCTTTTCCCAGATGGAAAGTTCARTTATTCCCAAGTTAAATAATTTTTGTTGCTTTATTGCTTTCAACTTGGGGAAAAACTTGTGTTAAAAATTATTTAAAATCTTAAAACTCAGCCTCAAACCAATGCTATCTATACAGATAATTTTCATCCAAATTTAATGTCATCAAGAGAGTAAACAAAGCAATACCTTAAGTGAGGCTTATTTTATGTAAAGAGAATTTTCTACAAATGTTAGTATATGATCAATCATAAAAATCCATTTTAAAATTGTTTCTATAGGCCCATGTTTCCCCCACCTAGCTGATCCTTATTTAAAAAGGAAAATAAAGGCAAGAAGGAAATTTTTAAAACTCCATATTTCTAATTTTGACGACCAGATTTGTCACCACTGTTATATTTGCTTTCATTCTTTTATTAAGAAATATTACAGATCAGTGTAACAACTCCCAGAAAACCTTTCCACATCTCAAAAGGCAACCGATAGCGTATATGGACCCATGATCAACATACAGTACTGTCCCTTGCACTGTTTAATTATACAAATGTTATACCAGGTTTCGTTGCAGTTTGCATTTTTCTCTATTAAAATTATGATCAGCCCACGTAACTATATGTGAATTTTGTATCTCCTCGCTAAATATTGTGTAGCATTATATCATAGAAATGAACACATTGTATTGATCTATCCATCTCTTGAGGGAGATTTATATGTTAAAGTCCAATTTAGGGTAATCCAAGCCATGATGCAGTGAACAGTGATCGATCCCTTTGTACACATCTGTGGGTGCTTTGGGGGCTGGTATAACAAAAGAGAATTGATTGTTCCATGTTTGTGATTTGAAAAAATCCTATTACTTTAATATATTCAACATAGTTTTAGAGTTTTACTTTTTACATCTGGGTTCTATTTTTGTATATGGTATAAGGGAGAGAGCTAACTTGCTCATGCAAATCTTCCATTTATGAACAGGTCATCCTTACCCCAATGATTTCAATAGAATTGTCATACATAAAATTCCCATATCTTCTTGGAATTCTGGATAAATCCTTAATTTGTTTCAATGATACTGTTTAAGTGACAACAGCTTTAAGTAAAGCACATGATGATATATAGTAGTAGAGTGTATCCTTTTCTAGATGTTTGGGTTTGTTGCAGCTGAGTGTGGACCTTTACCATCCATATAGAATTTTAAAATCAGTTTGTGAAATTCTTTAAAATATAACTGGTGTAAGTTTTGAGTGAAAGTACATTAGAGAGTTGAGAGAGAACTTGCATTCTTACAAATGTCAAGTCTTTTCAGACATAATTTCATTTCCCTCCACTTTCAAGTGTTATTTTGTGCCCCTTCAACATGGTTTATAACTTTGTAGATATAAATGCCTCATTACTCATGATTGTGTTATTCTTAGATATTTGTTATCAACACATTTTCTACTGAACTATTTCTTATATAAAATGTTATTTTATAGTTTTTATTACCCTCCATCTATCTTCTTTTTCTTGCTTAGTGTACTGCTGAGCTCAACTATAATGCTGATATTCTGAAAGCAGATATTTTCTTCAGATTTAAATGAGAACGTTATTATCAATAAGTAAGGTGTCTGCTGAAGGTTTTGACAGTCAGCTTTTTCCTCCAATAGGTCACCTTGGAAAGAATTCTCTAATGTTTCATAAATTCATGACGTCTTCATGAGGGTTTCCAACATTCCTAGTTCTCTGCTCTAGAATCAGTCATGTAATGTGCCATGAGGTGTTCCTTCCTTTGAAGGCTTTCCCATACCACAGGGAACCTAATGARTATGGATTCTCTGGTGTCTAACAAGGTGTGACTTTTGGCTGAAAGCTTTACCACATTCAATGCAGTGATAGGGCTTTTCACCTGTATGTTTTCTCATATGGAGAGTAAGGGATGAGATCTGAGAGAAGGCTTTTCCACATTTACTACAGTCAAAGGGTTTCTCCCCCGTATGACCTCGTATATGTATAGTAAGGGATGAGCTCTGGGAGAAGGCTTTTCCACATTTATTACATTCATAAGGTTTCTCACCTGTGTGACCTCTCATATGCACGATAAGGGACGTTCTCTGAGAGAATGCTTTTCCACATTCATTACATACATAGGGCTTCTCACCAGTATGACTTCTCATATGTAAATTAAGCAGTGAGCACTGAGAGAAGGCTTTCCCACACTTATCACATTCATAAGGCTTTTCCCCTGTGTGACTTCTCAAATGAAGAGTAAGGGATGCAATTTGAGAGAAGGCTTTTCCACATTTATTACAGTCATAAGGTTTCTCTCCAGTATGAACTTTCTGATGTGTAATAAAGTTTTGCTTTTGGCTGAAGGCTTTACCACATTCGTTACATTCATAGGGTTTCTCTCCAGAATGAATTTTTTCATGAGCAATAAGATTTGACTTCTGGCTAAAAGCTTTGCCACATTCCTTACATATATAGGGTTTTTCTCCAGTATGAATTCTCTGGTGTCTGACAAGATTTGACATCTGAATAAAAGCTTTCCCACATTCATTACATTCATAAGGTTTCTCTCTAGTGTGAATTTTCTGGTGTGTAATGAAGTTTTTCTTGTGGCTGAAGGCTTTTCTACATTCCTTACATTCATAGGGTTTCTCACCTGTGTGACTTCTCATATGTACAGTAAGGGCTGAACTCTGAGAAAAGGCTTTTCCACATTCATTGCATTCATAGGGTTTCTCACCTGTATGGATTCTCACATGTATAATAAGCATTGAAAACTGAGAGAAGGCTTTTCCACATTTATCACACTTATAAGGTTTTTCCCCCGTATGACTTCTCATATGAAGAGCAAGGGATGCAATTCGAGGGAAGGCTTTGCCACATTCATTACATGCATAAGGTTTCTCYCCAGTGTGAACCTTCTGATGTGCAATGAGGCTTTGCTTCTGGCTGAAGGCTTTTCCACACTCATTACATTCATAAGGTTTCTCCCCAGTATGAATTTTTTCATGATCAATGAGATTTGATTTCTGGCTGAAGGATTTCCCACATTCCTTACATGCATAGGGCTTCTCTCCAGTATGAATTCTTTGGTGTCTAATGAGATTTGACATTTTAATGAAAACTTTCCCACATTCATTACATTCAAAACACTGTTCCCTACTATGAATTTTATGATGTTTAGTTAGTTTTTCCTTGTGACTGAAGACTTTTCTACATTTGTTACATTCATAGGATTTCTCTCCAGTATGAATTCTTAGGTGTCTGATGAGGTCCAAAGTTTGACTAAAGCCTGTTCCACAATGATTACACTTAAAGGGGGTTACTACAAGGAGAGATGACTTATTGTCATAAGATTTCAYAGCTTCATTATATTCAAAATGTTCCTTTCTTATAAGGCATTTCATATTATTATGACAGTCAAAATTATGTTCTAAACACTTTCCAAACAAGTCATATTCATAGAGATTGTGTCTGGTAGGAATAAAATCTGAGTCTGGAGTAAATGCATTTGCAAATTTCTTAGGATATTCATTGACTTTTTCTTCAGTGAGTGTATTCTTGAAAACTTGTCTCAAAAGTCTGTCCTGGGTTTTCTGATGCTCATCAGTTCCCCATATTTCTCCTAAAACAGATTGCAAATAAATGCAACTTATGAATTTTTTTCCAATATTATAAGGTCAAAAAATGTTACAATGGGATTGATTCTTGATTTAGTGTTTTGTCTTCCATTATTAAACAAATATCAAGAGCATATATTTCCTATCTTCTCAGTTTTGAGAATGGAATTTCAGGAAAGTAAATGTGAGTGAAGGTAGATATTTATAAATATAAACAGTTTTGAGTATTTTTAAGTGAGATCTGCAAGAAAATAACCTGTTAGATAATGTACAAATAATGTATGAAGAAATAATGATAGAGGGGGAAAAAAAACCAGGAAACTTAAAAAAAAATCACAAGACTCAGGTGTTGTAGAACTCAGTTGAAATGGCAGTTTTATAACTGATGTGAATAGTTTTCTGGAAAATGTAAATTATGATAACTGATTCTAGAAGATGTAGAAAACTTATATACACCAATTTCCATTAAATGAAGAGGAAAGTGTGAAAACTTCCTAAAAACAGAACATAAAGACAATTTATCCAGAGAGATTGACATGGGAATTACAAAAAACATTTAAGATCAAACTCCATTCTGTGTAAAATGTTACAAAACAAATAAACAATAAAATAAATAATAAGAAGAAAATGGAAGAATTCCCTATTTTTGTGTCTGAAACATAATATTAACACTACAACTTTACCAAGATGATGAACCAAAAAAGCAAACTATAAGCCAGTTTCATTTATGAAAACTAATTTAAAAATTCTATGTAAAATATCAGAGTGATCCAGAGGGAAAAAAGTGACCCAGATGCACAGTAAGTGTAATACATATCATATAATTATGATAAGTATGTTTTTGTTTTACTATCAGAAGCTCTATTATTACATGGAAATACGTTCACAGGTCAATAATGAAAAAGCAAATAATCCACAGGTAATTTAAAAGATGCTAAAACAATGCCTATTTTCATTAAAAAAATTATGAAATGGAAGTAATGTATTACACAAACATTAGCACTGTACTTCCTGGGTAAAATCCAGAAGCAAATCAAAGTCAGGAATAAGAAAAGATGAGTACTATCACCACTAGCATTACACTATAAGTGCAATTAAATAAAAGAAATAAACCAGAGATATAAAAATTTATAAAGGTAAAATTAACATAATTTGTCAATAAAACTATTTACCTGAAAAGTCCAGTCACCTGAAAAGGTATTATAAGAGGCAAGAAATTCACTAAATACTAATTAATACTCAGTTTCAATAACCTTTGTATATACACAACAACTATTAAGGACATATAATAGAAGAAGAACCACATTTACACAGACTACAAATATACAAACCAAAAAAAAAAAAAGGAAAAAATAAGAAATTTCCAAAAACTATAAAAAGAAAACTAAAATGAACATATATACCTGAACAAATGGAACGGTATTATGCGGGCCCCATTAAAAATATGGTGAAGTCCTAACTCCCAGTATTTCAAAATATGTACTCAATTGGTCATAGGGTCACTGAATATTAATAAAGTAGTACTAGAATAGGATAAACTACTAATCCAATGTGAGATACTCTTAAAAGACTGCTGCATGATACTGAGATGCAGATTGGAGTCATGGTGTCACAAACCAAGGAACAGGTGGGACTACYAGAAGCTAAAAGAGACAAGAAAGGATACTTCTTCAGATTATGGCACTACTAACACCTTGATTTTAGACTTCTGGCCTCCAGAACTGTAAGAATAAAGTTCTATTATTCTAACTCACCCAGTTTGTGGTACTTTGTTTCAGCAGCCCTGGGAAAAGGTATTACATTCTTGGATAAGAATATTCACTAGTATATAAAGATGACATTAATCACAAGTTAAGAGATTTCAATATAAAATTTTGAAAATATAAGTAATAGCTCAAAGGAAATGATCCTAGCAGTAGCCACTATAGAGGATAAATAGGTAAGAGAAGAATTACCTTTTCTACTTTAAAAACTTTGTACTATGAGGGGCTGGGTTTGTAGCTTAGTGGTAGAACACTTGTTTAGCATGTATGAGGCACTGTGTTCAGTCCTCAGCGTGGCATAAAGTAAATAAAATAAAAGTACTGTGTCCATCTAAAACTAAATATATATATGTATGTTTGTGTTTATATATTTATGTATGTATATAAATTGTTGTACTATGAGAATGTGCTGTATATTCAAAAAGGTGGATAAGTAAATTGTTCTGAACATTGTAGAAATCAATAAAATAAGAACATAAGGTAAAAAGTAGTATTAAGAATTGGAGCATAAAAATGGAGGAGCCCACCTGGGTTGACAAAATAGAGTACAAATATAGTGAGCAGGGGGGTAAAACACAGTGGAAAACTAAAATTAAATACGGAACAGTAGACACATGGGTTTTTCTCTTATTCCACCCCAGACTGTAATAAGATAAATAAAAAGGTATAAACTAACAAAGACAAAACCAATGAGACAATAATTGATGACCAATGTAAAGATAACTTTTAGCTGATGGGAAGATGATGAAGAACTGTTACATGTAAGAAGAATTTAGAGGGCTGGGGTTGTGGCTCAGTGGTAGAGCACTTGCCTAGCATGTGTAAGGCACTGGGTTCGATCCTCAGCCCCACATATAAATAAATCTAAAAAAAAAAAAGTAAAACTCCATTGACAACTAGAAATATTTATATAAAGAAGAATTTAGAGAGCTGAAACTCAAGTGTCTGCAGAGGAAGATATCAAAAAGGAAAATCCAATTCCCATGACATAACTAGAGAAAGGCTCAAGAATTAAGAGAAATCACATGGGCGCAGTGTTGCACACCTGTAATCCCAGCATTTTGGGAGGCTGAGATATGAAGATTGTAAGTTCAAAGTCAGCCTCAGCAACTTAAAGAGACCCTGTCTCTAAATAAAATGTAAATAAGGCTAAAGATGTGGCTCACTGGTTAAGCAGCCCTGCATTCAATCCCTGGTACAAAAAAAAAAAAGAAAGAAAGAAGAAAGAAATCTTGTACCATGAAAGATAAGAATGAATGAAGGGGTTAAAAAACTAGAGGACTGACTGCAAGTCCAGATGGCAAACAGATGCCTACATTGTGCATGAGATGCCTATTATGTCTTTATCCTAGAGAAKATGGGAGACTACTCTCTGGTTTTAGAGAAATGGAATCAAAAAAGGCTCCAGAGTCAGGGACTAGGCAGAGGAATACAAAAGAAAAAAAGAAAAGAAAAATAAACTGGCTTGAACACAGGGAGAATAAGTGAAAGTCTATATACTAAAGAGTGGCACAATATTTCCAGTGGCAAAATGGAGATTTTTCTCCCTTTCTGCYAGACTGAGCATGAAGCGAGGGAAAAATTCCTGTGAAATTGTCCTGGAAGCAAGAATATTAAGAGGCTTGGCTGCAGGTTATAATGACAGAATACTAAGCTCTTAGGTCACCTCATGTACTTGGAAGAATAGAAGCACAATCAAGCAAAAGATGTGGAAGGAGAAGGCAAGATCAGGTCATCAGGGTATTATMCAAGCAGAAGTGAAAGAGAACTTCAAAGACAAGACCAAAATATCAAAATGTGACAGAAAAGATTCCATGTTTTAGATGGAGTACAAAAAGTCTTTGTTATCTTTTCTGTGGGAAGCCATTCTAACACGTGATCGGGTGCCTCCCTTAAGGGTCTGAGGCACTTTGGCAAAAGTCGAAGTTTTCCCGACCCTTTCCTGATGAGAGAGCCCATCCATGTGGGGGTGTGCCTGACCACTGACCCCGGGGACCCAATCGCTGACCCTGACCTTGGAGTGCAGCCCCCCCTCAACCTTCATTGGATGGAATTCTCCCCTGAATCTCTTGTTCCCTAATAAAAGGCTAGTCCCCGGCATGCTCTTTCTCTCTCTCCTGCTAGCCCTGAGTAATCCCTGCTGTCCTGCTGGGCAGTTTAGAGGAGCGAACCAGAGAGGGGAGCCGTCTGGGACCTAGCAATAGAAATAAGGTAATTGAGTCTTGTGTTTTTATTTTGATCTCTTCTAACTAACTTTATGCCTAGAACCTCATTAATGAAACCACTGCGCAGGCCGCGTGGTAGACTGTTCCTTTCTACAAAAAAGAAGTATGACCTAAGGAGTAGCTGGAGACCCAGTTATAATAAATGAGTTGATAAAGATAAATATGATGAAGACTGGAATGGGAAAGATTCCAAGAGAAGCCAGCTATTCATGTTGATCTTGGGCAAAAAAGCAGTTGAAGTATCAAAAGAAAAAGAAATTGCACCTTCAATGTCAGAATAAATTAACCATTGCTTACAGTGTAGGAATTTGGGAGTACAGATCAAGGAGACTATTGATGTATAAGAAAAGGCAGGACTGAACAAGAAAATACCTCACCTGTTGATGTAAGTTTGGTTTATTGTACTCTTACAGAGGGTGTGATATTAGACTTGCAGCTCCAGTTCCTTTCTGAATGAGAAGAAATAAGGCCTAAACATACTTATTCACCCACAAGCATCAAGAATAAAGGGCTTCAGGAGGGAAGGAGGAGTGGAAGTTCAGTGGATTGGACAGTGAAGAGTCGGGGGAAGGGGAAGGGAGATGGGAACGGATTGACAACTTTCCTATGTTCATATATGAACACACAACCAGTATAACTCCATGTCACATACAACCACAAAAATGGGAAGGTATATTCCATATATGTATGATATGTCAAAATACATTCTACTGTCCTGTATAACTAAAAAGAACAAAAAAAAAACTTTTCAAAAGAATAAAAGGGCTTCAAAATGAAGTAGAGATACATTTCTATAGATAATGGTTGGCAAACTTTTTCTTAAAGCCTTAGATAGTAAATATTTTAGACTTTGTGGGCTACATAGTCTATTGCAAGTATTCAACTTTGCTATTGTAATGTGCAAGCAGTTACACACAAGATATAATTAACTGTATGTGGCTATGTCTCAAATAAAACTTTACTTACAATAAAAAATACCTGGCCTTGACTTGGTTAGTTTGCTGACCTTTGTTCTAAAGTAGAACACTCCTTTTTTTCCTCCAATATTATCCTTTTTAAAATAGTAGGTTAAAGAAAAACTGAGAAATGAGAAAGAATTGGAATCAGATCACAAAAATTTTAATAGAAAAGAATTTGGCCTAAGGGCTGGGGATGTGGTTCAAGTGGTAGCATGCTCGCCTGGCATGTGTGCGGCCYGGGTTCGATCCTCAGCACCACATACAAACAAAGATGTTGTGTTCGCCAAAAACTAAAAAATAAATATTACAAAAAAATTCTCTTGGCATAAAGAAAGCAGACAAAAATACAAGCTAAAAAAGTCTGCAATCCACAGGTGATAATCTTGACTAAATATATATTGCCATGAATTTTTAAAAGCTAATTGAAAACAACATATATAAATCTAGGCCCCAAATAGAAATTTGAATGCATGAGGAAGAAACAATGGGAAAAGAAACAGGGATAAGGGCAGGGTTGTAGCTCAGTTGTAGAGCGCTTGCYTAGTATGTGTGAGGCACTGGGTTCGAACCTCAGCACCACATAAAAATAAATTTAAAGAAAAGTATTGTGTCCATCTACAACTTAAAAAAAATTTTAAAGGGATAAAATGCTCACCAGTAGAACCAAGAAAATAATTAGAAGAAAAGAAAACAAAGCCACCTCTGAAGTGAACAATACTATGCAAGCAGGAAAAAGTAAGACTTTACTATCAGAATTATGGTACAATAACCTCATCTTGCAAAAACAACAGGATGATGGATGAAATGGACATTGTGATGCATTATTAGGCTTGTGGGAAGTAGCATTAACCTCTATACCTATAAATCACCCACCTGTCTCTCACATACAYACAATGAAAAATCTGGAGTGGTGGCATGCTCCTGTAATCCTAGCTACTCTGGAAGCTGAGGCATGAAGATCTCAAGTTTGAAGTCAGCCTTTGCAGCTTAGAGAGACCCCGTCTCAAAAATAAAAAGGGATGGGAATGTAGCTCCAGTGGTAAAGGTCCCCTGGGTTCAATCTCCAGGTGTTTTTTGTTTGTTTGTTTTTTAATTATAGTTGGACACAATACCTTTATTTCACTTATTTATTTTTATGTGATGCTGAGGAACGAACCCAGGGTCTCCTATGTGTGAGGCAAGCACTCTACCGCTGAGCAACTCCAGCACATACACACACACACACCGCCTTTTTTTTTTTTTTTTTAAGAAAAAAAACAAAGATCACTGTTAGCTAAAAACAGATTTGGGAAAGGAAATTAGTAAGTAAGCTGGAGGATGGGTTTGGTCTGAGTGTCGAGGCCAAAAAAAAAACCACAAAAAAACATCAAAAATCTGCTAACTGAAGTATAAGCCTTGGGTCAATAACAGAAGCTTAACTGAGGCTCCTACAAAGAATGAATTGGTTATGCTTCTTGCTATCTCCCAGAGGCATGTGCAAATCATCCTCAGGAGAAAGAAACTTCAAATTAGAACAAGATTATTATGAATCAGGATAAACGACATTTGAACTCACAATCAGCAATCAAATACATGAAGAAGCAACTACAAGTGAGTCATCAAAATTAAATCTCATAGTGGCTCTGGAGGCCGCGACAGGAGGATTATGAGTTCAAAGCCAGCCTTAGCAATGGCGAAGCACTAAGCAACTCAGTGAGACCTTTTCTCTAAATACAATACAAAATAGGACTGGAGCAATTGCCTAGCATGTGTGAGGCACTGGGTTCGATCTTCAGCACCATATAAAACTAAATAAAATAAAGGTATTGTGTCCAACTACAATTAAAAAATTAAAAAATATATATCTTTAAAAAATTAAATACTGGAACTGTCAGAAATACAGAATATAAAAGAGCTATATGTATATAGTATAGAATTTCTAAAGAAGTACAGGATAAAAACAAAGAGGAATAAAACACAGGAATTATTGGAAATATCCAGCAAGTTTTAAAAAAAGGAAAGAAAAAATTTATAAAAATACAAAATACAACTGCTGACTTTACAAAATAAAATAGTTGCGTTAAACAGATCATAAACACAATCTAAGGGAGGAATAGGTAAACTGGAAGATGTTAATACCAAAAAAGACAAAAAACATTTGAATAGGATAATATAAATATAAAAAGAAAAATAAAAAGAGTTGTCAAGGAAATTTTCCCTAAAAAATCCACGTGTTCCACATAGTTCAACAGGTAAGATCTACCTAAGTTTTAAAGAAATTATAACACAGTGCTGTGTAATTATTTTACAGCATGAAAGAACACTTCCAAATTCCATTTATGATATCAGTGTGCCACTGACATCAAAGCCTTGATGTCAAAGTTGGAACAATTATTTAATTTTGGAGTAAATGTGAAGATAAATCATTATTAACAATTATGTAAATATAATTACACCATATATAAAGGAGGAGTAAAACAGGGTAATCTTCTGTGGGAAAATATTACATTTTAAAAAAAGTGATGATGATAAAAAGAACATAAAAAAATAACTGAGGAAAAATATGAAAAAACATATATAACACATAGAAGGCCAGTCACCCTACTGTGTTAAAAGTTCATACAGATTAAGAATTTAAAAGAGAAAAGGTCAAAAGACATAAACTGTTTATAAAAAGAAATAGATTTTAAATATTTTTTAGTTGTAGTTAGACACAATATCTTTATTTATTTATTTATTCTTATGTGGTGCTGAGGATTGAACTCAGGGCCTTGCACGTGCTAGGTCAACGCTCTACTGCTGAGCCACAACCTCAGTCCAGAAATATAGATTTTAAACATATGAAAAACATAACTTGCCTTCATTCATAATAAAGGAAATATAAATTAAAATCACAGTTATTTTTTACCTATAATGTTGGCAAAGAATTTTTAAAATGTTAACAGACTATGTTGGCAGAAATTATTGGTAGAAGTATAAGTTATTATTCTCTTTGGAGGGTAAAAAAATACATGTGTATGTGTTTATGCATGTTATGCCTATATGTAAATGCATGTATAGATGTATGTGTACCCATGTATATGTATATACACATCATACGTGTGCTCTTATGTACGTGACAAATACAGAAGAAAATGGAAATATAGAAAAAGCTAATGGAAAATCAGCACTGACTAAAATTTTTACTGATGATAAGGGGGTAATCATAATTGAAGTATGAAAGCAAAAGCTAAAACTATAGTAGAAAGTATGACTATGATCCAAATAACAAACAGAGTAGGAAGTAAACGACTATAAATGTCAACAGATTTATCTGAACAACTCAAAGTTCATGATTGTCAGTATACAAAAGTAAAGAATGCTTTTTAAAAAGGTGGACAGGGAGATTTTAGATACAATAACAGAATATTATTGAAGTCGGGTTGGAAACTGATTAGAAAAGGTTACTGCCCAGCACTCAGATTAGAAGGCCAACCCAGACCTCTAAGTTCTGAGGAAAGAATACTACCAAAAAATGACATCTTAGGGCTGTGGTTGTGGCTCAGTGGCAGTGCGCTTGCCTAGTGAGGCACTGGGCTCGATCCTGAGCACTGCATATAAATAAATAAAATAAAGGTCCACTGACAACTAAAGAATTATTTTTTAAAAATGACATCTTTGTTTTATAGAGTCCACACCAGCTATTACTATAAAAGTCTACAGGGTTTTAGAAAATACCTCTGGAGAACATTTCGGGTTGGATCAACTGCTCACTAATTAACCATTCATAGTGTTTTATCCCCATCCTTASCTGTCTGGTTCCCTCCCACTAACCTGAACAGTGTCTCCTAAATACTTCTTCTTCTACCACCCATGGTTCTTCTTCTTGCTCCAACTTGAAAATTACTTCAGGTTTGGTGAATGGATAGCCTGCCAAACAAATAACAGAGATTTGGGCACATATACCGGGAACAAAGAACAAACCAAGAATCCAGGCTGGCCCAGGAAAACTTGGCTTTGTAACAGACAAGAAAATGAGGCTTCTGGGAATGCTGCCCTGGTGTCTTTTCATAACCAAGGATGATCTTCYGTTTTGAAAGCTGCAGTGTCAGCAGCCACATGAACAAAAGCATCTCACAGCCAAAAAGCATTTAAAAGTTCCCACCGGGCACAGTGTTCAGCACACCTGTAATCCCAGTGACTTGGGAGGCTGAGGAAGGGAGATCACAAGTTCAAGGACAACTTAACAAGACCATGTCTAAAAATAAAAAATAAAAAGGGATGGGGTTGAGAGAGTTCAGTGGTAAAGTGCCCCTGGGTTCAATCCTCAAAACTATGACAAAGAAAAAATTGAAAAGTTCCATATATTTAAGACATATTTTCCCAAAATGTTTATTTCCATATAAAAACATATTTTCCCAAATAGGTTTTAAATATATGGAAAAATTCATGTTTCTAGAATTTGAATTATATAGTAAACTAGTCTTACCTACTGTGATTAAGTTGTTATAGTTTTCTAACATCACATTCCGGTACAGGTTCCTCTGAGCAGGGTCCAATTGCTTCCATTCCTCCTGAGTGAAGGCAATGGCCACATCTTTGAATGTCACTGTTCCCTGTAACAACATACTCCTATTCAGTTACTATCGGAAATAAGAGCTTAAAAGAACCTGGTCTGTTATTATTTTCCAAAGAACTAAAACAAACAAAAAACAACAACAATAATATTAGAAACATTCTCTCAGTTCATGTTCATTCACTGATTTAGCAAGTACATACCTTTAATAACTATCAAGGGTTAAAGAGAAGATATCGGGTACCAATTTATACTGAGTGTAAAAGAAATGGGAAAATAAAACATTCAAGTTAACTCGCTTGGGACCTCCTAAATATCAAGGGCAGGAAAAATGAAAGCAGGATTTGGATGGTGGCAAAAGTAGGGAGAGAATGAGTGGTAAAATTTGAGGTTAAATTAATAGGACATTAATTTACCAGTTGTACATACTGTTCAAAAGGAGGAGAATTTTTTTTGGGGGGGGGTACCAGGGATTGAATCCAGGGGTCTTAACCCATGGACAACATCCCCAACCCATTTTTTTGGGTGGGGGTACCAGGGATTGAACTCAGGGGCACTTAACCAATAAGTCACATCCCCAGCCCTATTTTGTATTTTATGTAGATACAGAGTCTCACTGAGTTGTTAGCACCTTGCTTTTACTGAGACTGGCTTAGAACTCACAATCCTCCTGACTCAGCCTGTGAGCCAATGGGATTTCAGGTATGTGCCACTGCACCCGGCTTGCCCATTCCTTTTTGTGTTTTATTTTAAGACATGGTCTTGGTAAGTTGCTTGGGGCCTTGCTAAGTTGCTAAGCCTGGTCTGGAACCTGCAATCCTCCTGCCTCAGCCTCCCAAGTAGCTGGGATTACAGGCATGTCCACCATGCCCTTGCAAGAGGAAGAGAAATCTTTGTTGGAAATTAGTTTATCATCCTTTAGTATGTGTCTGTAGCCATGAAAATAAGATCTGATGGCTCAAAGAGCTTACATACATTGAGAAAGAGGGTCATAGAATCCTACAGATAACAACAACAACAACAAAAAGATGCCCTGATAAATGGCCAGCACTAGAAGTATAACTGCAACTATGAGAAAATAGTATGAAGACAGTTATAGTGTGAGTTTCAGAAATGAGAGATTTTTCAAGAAAAACTCTTAAAAGCAATGTGATTTGAATACAGAAATCTAACAGTCCCTCCTAGTTCAAAATTAAAATGCCCCAAAGAATATGAACACAAGAAAAAAATCTTTAACATCACTGGAAAAAAGAGAGAAAATGTATTTCCTTATCTTTTGAGGAATTTCTACCAGAAATGGGATGAGATAGAAGTCCCCAACAGCTAATTCCCAATGTTTCTAAGAATTTATTTATTTATTTTTAAATATTTTTTTTAGTTGTCAATGGACCTTTATATTTATTTATTTATATCCGGTGCTGAGGATTGAACCCAGTGCCCCACACATGCTAGGCAAGCACTCTGCCACTGAGCCACAATCCCAGCCCTTCTAAGATTTTATTTTAGGATCTTTTATGACTCCATGAATATGAATAYCCATTAATACTAAGGGTTCAGAGAAAGCTGCGGCACTGATGGGATATCATCTCTAGGAAACCCTTCCTGCTGAAGGTCAGGACACTTGAAATAATTATGATGCTAGGACAAGTGTAACCATGTGGAATGATGAGGTGGGAGTCAACTATTGAGAATGGCAGAGCAATAAAACAGAAGGAATCTTGTTCCCTGGCCTTTGAAGGTAGAGGACCAGCCCTAGTCTGCTATCACCTAAAATTCAACACAAGAAATAAACTTCTGTCCTGTTATGGAAATGTTTTCTGAGATTTCTACTACAGGCAGTTAATTATAATCCTGACACATAAAAATATTCATGTCATGCAGAGAACACTTCAAGTACCATGTTTGTGGCAGCCATGGAGGTATACACTGCTGAGAGTYCCAAATTGAGTTGGCAAACAGCCTGCAGTTTGAGAGCCAAACACTGCACCCAGCCAAAGACTGAACATGCGGGGAGGCACTGGATTGTAGACTATTGCTAYCTATAGTATCCCCCAATAGAAAAGTTTTGGTCAGCAACTTCTCACTGGTCTAGCTGAGATTTTCTCACAGACACAGGACAGTCTGAGTTGGCAGAAGAAAGAATCTGCAATTGTGGCATTTGCAGGAACATGGATGGAATTGAGAGCATTATGTTAACTGAAATAAGCCAAACTCAGTCAAAGGTCATGTCTTCTCTCATAAGCAGAARCTCTTAGAGAGAAAAGGAAGGTGAGGAATCTCATGAAAACAGAAGGGAGACAAGAAGAGTAGAGGAAGAGGAGCAGGGTGAGGGAAGGAAAGGGGGAGGTCCTATGGAAAGAAATTGGTGACATTGTTATATTGTGTGCATGTACAAATACATAACAACAAGTCCCACTATTATGTATTATAGTTATAATGCATCAAAAAATACAAAACATCTATCGTATAATACAGAAATTATGCATTTTGAAGAAGGAAAAAAGCATGAAGTAAATACAAACTCAGAGGAATATGAGACATCAGTAAAAGCATCAAAATATATATGATTTCAGTACTAAAGTATTAAGTTTTTTTTAGAGAGAGAGAGAGAGAGAGAGAGAGAGAGAGAGAGAGAGAGAGAATTTTTAAATATTTATTGTTTAGTTTTCGGTGGACACAACATCTCTGTTTGTATGTGGTGCTGAGGGTTGAACCCGGGYGGCACACATGCCAGGCGAGCTCGCTACCGCTTGAGCCACATCCCCAGCCCAAGTATTAAGTTTTTTAAATAGATATTTTTAGTTGTACATGGACACAATACCTTTATTTATTTATTTTTATGTGGTGCTGAGAATAGAACCCAGTGCCTCACACATGCCAGACAAGCACTCTACCACTGAGCCACAACCCCAGCCCAAGGATGAAGTTTTAAAGAGAGGAAAGTACATGAAAATATTGTAAGAAATAATGACTAAAACTTACTAAATTTGGTGAAAAACACTAACACTGATATCTAAGGAGCTAGACAAACTCCAAGTAGGATAAACAACAAGGTACACATCTAGACACATCACTGTTCAAGGTTGAAGTAAAGATAAAATCTTACAGCAGCAAGTGAAAAACTTCATTATCTTCAAGGGAATCACAATAAAATTAACAGCTGAATCAATGGAGACCAAATAACAAAGGGACAATATATTCAAAGTGTTGAAAGAAAAAAAAAGCAGCTTTAAATAAAGAATCCTATATTTAGGAAAGTTATTTTTAAAAAAAGCTAGGCAGGAGGGGCTGGGATTATGGCTTGGGGCTGGGATTGTGGCTCAGCGGTAGAGCTCACCTAGCACGGGCGGGACCCAGGTTCAATCCTCAGGACCACATAAAAATAAAGGCATTGTGTTGTGTCCATCTACACCTAAAAAATAAACATTAAAAAAATAAAAATAAAAATGCTAGCCAGGAAAAGCCAATGGAAAAGAGAGAGTCCATTCTTTAAAATAGTCTTTGACAGATTTTACTTTTCCAAATTAAAGTCCATTTATTTGTTTATTTTAATGTTTTATTGGATTATAATTATACACAATAGTGGGATTCATTGTGATATACTCAAACATGGACCTAACATAATTTGTTCAATTTCATTTCCCAATATCTTTGCTTTCCCTCCCATCTTCCCTCCCCTGTCCCCTTTATCCTATTGGTTTTCCTTTTGTTTTATTTAATTTATTTATTTGTTTGTTTGTTTATTTACTTATTGTTTATTTACTTATTGGATACTGGGGATTGAACTGAGGGCACTTAAACCACTGAGCCACATCTTCATTTAGAGACAGGGTCTCACCAAGTTGTTCACTTTTGCTGAGGCTGGCTTTGAACTTGAGATCCTCCTGACTTAGCCTCCCGAGCTGCTGGGATTCCAAGCATGTGCCAATGCACCCATCTATTTTTTTTTTAATTTTAAAAAATAATTCTGTAGGGTTATAGCTGTAGCTCGGTGCTAGAGCACTTGCCTCACATGTGTGAGGCACTAGGTTAAATCCTTAGCATCACATAAAAATAAACAATAAAATAAAGATATTTAAAAAATAATATTTCTTTAGTTGTTGATTGACATTTATTTTATTCATTAATATGTGGTGCTGAGACTCGAACCCAGTGCCTTACACATGCCAGGCAAGTACACTACCACTGAGCCACAGCTACAGCCCTCCCCTTCTTTTTGTTTTCTTGCATTTTTCTCTCTAATATCCACATGGGAGAGAAGCTCATAAAGGTTAAAAATGAAAATATTGTTTAATAGCTTACAGACTAATTTAGGGTCTAGGGGTACTTGAGGTTTTTCATTATGAATATTATGAAATTCTTACTTGAGCTCTGGGGTTATTTTTAAATTACAAAATAAATGACTGAGGGCTGAGGCTGTAGCTCAGTGGTAGAGCACTTGCCTCAAAGGTGTGAGGCCCTGGGTTTGATCCTCAGCACCACATTAAATAAATAAATAAATAAATAAATAAAGAAAGAAAGAAAGAAAGAAAGATATTATGTCCATCTACAACTAAAAATAATAATAATAAATTACCTAGTTATTAGAATGTGTCCAGCACAGATTTAGATACTAAGGATAGCAGTAAGAAAGACAACATTCTGGTCTTCTTGGAACTTACATTCTACTTAGGGTACACGGAAATGAAAAAATAAACAAGTGAATAAGCAAGACAAAGTATAATAGTAATAAATCATTAAAATGTAATAAGATAATGGGTTTAAATAATATACTTTGAATTTGGTAACAGAAGCTGTTGAAGAGGGTAATATTTCAGCTGCAACCAGAATAAAGAGAAGGAACTAGTCATATAAACATGCAGGATGGTGGGCTGGGGTGTGGTTGATGGTGGAGCACTTGCCTAGTATGTGTGAGGCACTGGGTTTGATCCTCAGTACCACATAAAAAATAAAGTTATAAAAAATATGCAGGATAATAGAACATAATGATATGTTTAAAGTTGTTTCTTTAGGTATAAACTTTATCTCTTCAGAGGTGGGAAAATTCAGTGTGGCTGAAACATCATAGATAAGAGACACAAGACAGTGGTAAAGATGGAGGCAGAAGGCATATCCTGAAGGGTTTGGTTTGGTGAAGGACATTATCCCAAGTGTAATGGGAAGCCATGAGATGATTTTAAGCAGGGAAGTTAATGCCTTAGGTTTTCAGTGTTCCCTTTGGATGTTCTACAGAAAATGAACTACAGATGATCAGTGATAAATGAAGGTAGATCAGTAGGAAGGTATCAAAGTAGTTCCAGGTAAGAGATAACGTGATGTGGGCTACATGACCCACAGTAGTTTATTCAGTGACCAGATCTGAGGTATGATTGGTCTTTTGTAAGTTAGATTAATCTGATAGTTTAAAAAATCTTATTTGCATTTTATTAATCATGAGGGTAGCTGAAGTCATACAGGAAAGTGGCTGGGAACAAAGGCTCCACGTTAATACTGTTCAGACTCCTGGTTCTAATACAATCTACAACCTTGAGCAAGTTTCTTAATCTTTCTATCCTTTTTATCCATTGTATTTGAAATATGGAAATAATGAGAGTATTCACCTCTTGGACTCCTTATGAAGATTTTATAATCTATGTAAAACTTTGACATTCTTTATATCATTATTTGTAACTTTTATGAGCCCTTCCTTTTTATTTTTTCTTTTTTTTTTTTAGAATTTTTAATATTTATTCTTTAGTTCTCGGCAGACACAACATCTTTGTTGGTATGTGGTGCTGAGGATCGAACCCGGGCCGCACGCACGCCAGGCGAGCGCGCTACCGCTGAGCCACATCCCCAGCCCCCTTTTTATTTTTTCAATTGCAAATTATTTCTTTCATATCCCCAGTTTNCAGCCCCCTTTTTATTTTTTCAATTGCAAATTATTTCTTTCATATCCCCAGTTTTCTACCAGATTTCATTTTAATTACTGGCTTATAAATATATTTAAATACTAGATTAGTCTGCTATATATTACTAAAATTGTTATTGGTTTATTTTATTTATGGTTATTGTATCAAAAAGAATACAGTTTTTGTAGACCCAGATTTAGTTGAGTTTCTCTTTTATCACCTATGAGTTCATATTATGTCAAAAGGGCAAACTTGTGAGGATAGAAAATACACTCAAGAAGGTTATCTTGGAGTGACTAGGAGCCCTCAGATATTGTTAGGGTATATTTGTGGACAGTTACTTTGGAAAACTGTTTTCAATAAAAGTTGACCTCATATATAACTTATGATGCAGAAGTTCATCTTTTGATATATATCCTAAGGAACATGTGCATATGTCCAAAATGGACATCTACAATAAAGTTCACAGCAACTATTTATAATTTCTCTAAAATAAAAATCATCTAAATGCCCATTAACAGGAATTCATATGAATAAAATGTGGTTTATTTACATAACTGAATAATAATATATGATGAAATTAACTGAGATCAAAGACACACTGTATATCTCAGTACAAAAAAGCTTTGAGCTGAGGGTGAAAAGGCAGTGAGAGAGATGTTCAATATCTGAGAGTGTAGGGTAAATGTGAGAGAGAAAGATCACAAAAGTGTGAAGCAAAAGGGTTAAGTTCTGAGAAAAAGGAATTATCCGTGAAGAGGAGATAGAATATCACTTAGTCTAAAGGTCAATAAAAAAGAAATAAGGGATTGTGGGTTCAATTCATTAAAACTATGAATATTCAAACAAAATGTGTACTAGGTGATGAAGATAGGGCAGAAAACAAAGTAAAACACACTCCCYGCTCACAGTCTAGTTAACTACACTTACAAGAATTTACCAGAAATTATTACTTTACATGTGGCTCTATCAGAAGCAAATGCCCACTGAAAAAGACAATTACATAGGGTCATTTGAAAGCCACATAGCCCACATCTTTCTTCAGATAGTCTAATTTTTTAAATTGAGGTATGGCATGCATAGATTAATGTGGTACAATGTGCTGATGTTAAGTGTACAACCTGATACACTTTTGAGACATAGACATGTTTACTCAAAGTCAAAATACTAAACATTTTTAACACTTCAGCTTAATTCGTGCCTTTTCCCAGTAAATACCCTCTCATAAGGAACCACTATTCTGACTTCTATCAAAGTAGATTAGTTTTAATAGCTTTTGAACTTTATATAAATGAAACCTTTTGTATATACTTTTTGTTTCTGGCTTCTTTTGCTCTGTTGATGAGATTTACCTATCTTGTTGCATGTACCAGTAATATAGTCTTTTTTATTGTGTAGTATTCTATCATATGAAATACTATATTTTATTCCAATTTTTCTTCTGATGTTCACTTGCATTCTAATGCTAAGGCAATTCAGATATTCTTTATTTTATCTTTGATCAAAACAGACCAACTGAAAGCTAACTTATCGATTATTATAAGTCACACAATTTTCATTAATCAAAGTGGCAATAAAAAAAGCTTATTTCTGGGGCTGGAATTGTGGCTCAGAGGTACAGCGCTCACCTAACATGCATGAGGCACTGGGTTCYATCCTCAGCACCATATAAATATAAAATAAAGATATTGTGTCCACTATAACTAAAAAATAAATATTTTTTAAAAAGAAAAGCTTATTTCTGTTAGGAAATGTTTGGTTTTTTGTGTACATACAATGAAAATTAAGTAATGAATTTCTGCTCTAGTTTGCTGTACTTATAAAAATGAAATTCATAAAAAAGTCCATCAACAAACTAAAAATTTTTTAATGAAATTCATTTTTGAAGCCTAATCTCTCTCAATGAACTCACTTCATAAAATAGCCACATCTGAACTCTTCCCTAGTTTTAATCTTCTATTTTCTCTGAAAATGTTTTTTTATATAGGTCTTTCTAATTTACTATATGGATTACTGCCATCTCCTTAAAACTGCATTGCAGAATAAGGCAGGGAACAAAGAGAAAATTTAATATTTACCTGGGACTCAGTCATTTCCTCTTCTTTCTAGAAAGGGACAGGGTCCAAAGAGGCAGAGCTGGGGAAGAGAGTAAAAGTCATTAATTAGGAGAGGCCTGACTTGTGTTTCAGAAACCTGTTTCCATAGGTACATTAAACACCACCTCTAGCAGAATGATATTTGGATCTATCAGAAAGGTCAAAAATATTCACACCCACAGAGTATAACTAGTATGGTTCTAGGGAACTTAGTTGTGGGATGGATAGGAACAGGAATGCATATATGAGAGATACCCCATGAATATATCAATAACTCTGTGTCAGAAAAAACAGCTTCATGGGAGCAGGGGTACTGGGATTGAACCCAGGGACACTTTTMCATTGACCTACATCCTCAGTCCTTTTTATTTTTTTGAGACAGGTTCTCACTAAGTTGCTGAGGCTGGCCTGGAAGTTGTGATCCTCCTGCATCAGCTCTCCAGTCTCTGAAATTATAGGCGTGCACCATTAAGTCTACCTCTATTTCTTTACTGTCTAACAATTTTTGTTGTTGTTGACTTACTTTAAATAACTTTTGTTGTTCATTTGAAGATTTTCCCTAAAAAGATCTTTTAAAAGAAAATTTGGCCAGATAAATTATAGTGAGAAAAGGAAATTTGCCTGGGAGCAAAGAGATTTTCCTTCTAGTCTTTCCTGTGCCAATAATAAGCACTGTAACCCTGGGATTRGTTTCTTACAATCATTATAATGAAATTTTAAAAAGATAGCAGAATAAGATGGTTTCTGAGCAGCTGAACCAGCATTGTGAAATTCTGTAAGGAAAACTTGGTATCTTTTTCTTTTTTCTCTTCATGTTTTTAAAACAGCTTTCATTTTTAAAAAAGCTAATATGTGCATTATAGGAAGCAAAAAAATAAAAGCAAAGAATAGTCATCCAGTCATGAGCAGCTTAGTTGGATGTGTCCTTCCAGGTCCTGTGTGCACACACACAGCATCCCATTTTGTGTGACTGAGATCAGTGTATCATGCTTTTCCACACATCACGAATATTCACTAATTCAAAATCCCAGAGCTACATGAATATACTATACAAGAATATACTGTACCAATTCAATTTGTTAGGAAAAAACTGGGGCCTTTCTTGGGTACAAAAATTTCAATGAACACAGAAATGGCAACAGGCCTCTAGACAGAAGTATTATTAGCAGAGTCACAACTAAAATAATGTATTCCCTTAATCCTCAATTTACAACGAGACAAAACAACAGAGTACACCAATCATATTTCTTTTTTTAATATTTTTTTTTGTTTTAGGTGGACACAATATCTTTATTTATTTATTTTTAATGTGGTGCTGAGGATCGAACCCAGTGCCTTTCGCATGCCAGGCCAGCGTGCTACCACTTGAGCCACATCTCCAGCCCCCCAAACATGTTCATTATGAGATTTCTACTATCAAAATATTAGCAAGAAAGATGTTCCCAGTGAATGCAAGTGCTCCTACAGCAGTGGTCACAGCAAAATGTAAATCCTTGARCACTTGCTCCTGCCTTTCCCTACATACTCCTTCTGCCCCTCTGCTGCAACCTAATCGACAGTCCTGATACTCACTGCCCAGGGCATCACAATCCCATGTCCAGGATGCATCTTTTCCATCAGGTATAACAAAAAGATGTAAAATTTACAAGTTGGCTAATTCACTAGCTCTACTTTTTATGATACACTGTCACCTCAGGGCATCTAGAAAGCTTGGATGTTGTGAGAAACTTGGTATCTTGCTAAGGATAGAGAACTGCATGCCTGCATCAGCACTGTGAAGTTATAATAGACACTGTGACTGTCTAAATGCTTACACATTAGTCCCTACAAATCAACTCTCAATTTTGCCTCTGATTTCAATTATTATGGATGTATACCTAGAAGTGGGATTATTTAATCATATGGTAGTTCTAGTTTTAATTCAAAAAAAGTATTTTTAGTTGTAGATTGACAGAATACCTTTATTTATTTTTATGTGGTGCTGAGAATTGAACCCAGTGCCTCACACATGATAGGCAAGTGCTCTACCGCTGAGCCACAACCCCAGCCCCTGTATTTTTAATTGTTTAAGGAGCTTCAAAAGGCTATACCATTTTATATTCCCACCAACAGTACAAAGATTATAATTTCCTCATATCCTCACCAATACTTGTTACCTTTTGTTTTTTAAAAAAATATTTATTTTTTTAGGTGTAGATGAACACAACACAATGCCTTTATTTTTATGTGGTGCTGAGGATCGAACCTGGGTCCTRCCCGCACTAGGTGAGCACTACCACTGAGCCACAATCCCAGCTCCTTGATTTTTTTTTATAATAACCACCTGTTAGGTGGGGATGATATCTCATTTTTTATTTTATTTGCATTTTCCCTGATAATGTTGTTGAGCATCTTTTCATATACCTGCTGGCCATTTGCATGTATTCTATTTCTGTTTTTACAACTGAGTTGTAGAAGTTCCTTATACATTTTGAACACTGACCCTTTCTCAGATATATGGCATGCAAACCCTTTTCACAGTTTGACTTTTCCCTCTGTGCTTTTCTCTACTGTGCAGAAACCTTTCATTTTGATGTAGTCTCACTTGTTTCAGCTTTTCTTACCTGTGATTTTTTAAATTTATTTTTTAATTGGACACAATACCTTTATTTTACTTTTTATTTGTATGTGGTGCCGGGGATCTAACCCAGTGCTTCACGTGTGCTAGGCAAGCACTCTACCACTGAGCCACAACCCTGGCCCCTCTATACTCTACTTTTTAAAAATATTTTTTCAGTTGTAGATGGACACAGTACTTTTATTTATTCACTTTATGTGGTACTGGGAAATAAACCCATTGCCTCACACATGTGAGGCAAACACTCCACCACTGAGCCACAACCCCAGTCCCCTATACTCTATTTTGAAATCTGTGTGATCCATTCAGATTTGTTCTTTTCAAGATTGATTTACATATTTGTAGTTTTTGTGGTTTCATGTAATTTATAAAACTTTTTCTATTTTGGCATTGACTCTGTAGATCACTTTAAGTAGTATGGACATTTTAACAATATTTGTATAACCCACTAACATTGGACATCGTTCTGCTTTTGTTGTTTAATTATTTTCCCCAAGATTTTGTGGTTTTCAGTATATTAGTCTTTCAATTCCCTATTTAAGTTTGTCCCTAAGTATCTTATTCCTTTTATTTTTTCTTAATTTCTTTTTCTAATAATTCATAATTAGCATACAAAAATGCAAGTGATTTTTGCATGTTGATTTTATATCCAGCAATTGTAGTGAATTCATTTCTTCTTTTTTTAAAGATCATGTTATACTGCAAACAGAGACAATTTTGTTTTTTCCTTTCTTTTTGTTTTGGTGGGGAGGCTGGGGATTGAGCCCAAGGGCACTTAACCACTGAGCCACATCCCCAGCTCTTTGTATTTTATGACAGCGTCTCACTAGGTTGCTTATAGCCTCCCTAAATTGCTGAGGCTGGCTTCAAACCTACAAACTTCCTGCCTTAGCCTCCTGAGCCAATGAGATTACAGGCGTGTGCTACCGTGCCTGGCTTATTTTTTCCTTTCTGATTTAGATGCCTTTTTTTTTCTTTGCCTTCTCTAATGGCTCTGGGTATATATCCAATATGATTCAAATTTCCAGTACTACGTTAAATAGTAGTGGCAAGACTGGCTAATCTTAATATTGATTTTAGAGAAAAAGTTCTCAACTTTTTATAGTTAAGTATGGAGTAAGCCAAGAACTTGTCATATATGGCCTTTATTATGTCRATATACATTCCTTGTATACCTAATTTGTTTCAATGATTTCTCATAAGAGTGTCAAATTTTGTTAAATGCTTTTTCAGCATCTATTGAGATCATGTGACTTTATTCTTTTTTTGTTGTTGTTCTTTATTTTGTTAACATGGTATGCTACATAAACTGATTTTCATATTTTGAACCTTCTCAAGGATAAATTCCACTTGATCATGCTCTATAACCTTTTAATGTGCAGATTCAGTTTTCTAGTATTTTGAATTGCCTTTGAATTCCTAAGGAATGCTAGCCTGTAGTTTTCATTTTTTGTGATCTTTTTCTGGCTTTAGTATCTTGTTAATTTGGATCTCATGAGTTTGGAAGTGTTCTGTCCTCTTCAATGTTTTGGGAGATTTCTGAGAAGGATTYGCACCCTTCTTTAAATGTTTTGTATAATTCACCAGTGAAGTCAGTTGGTCCTGAGCTGTTTTCTTTTGGCAGGGGTAAGGACTTTGATAACTGATTCAATCTCAATAGTAGTCATAAGTCTATTTCTTCATGATTTAGTCTTGGTAGGTTCTAAGTTTCCATGAGTTTACATCTTCTAGGTTATCCAGTTTGCTGAGTATTGTTCACAGCACTCTCTTATGACCTTTTAAATTTCTGTGTCATCAAATGTATAACTTCACTTTTATTTCTGATTTATCTAAGTCTTCTGTTTATTTCTTTTAATTTTCCTCAGTCTAACCAAGGGTTTGTCAATTTTATTTTTTTCAAAAAATACTGTTATTTTTCATTGATGTAATTTTTCTATTTCAACTCTCATTTCTTCTTTTTGCTATCTTTGGTCTTAGTTTGTTCTTCTTCTAATTCCTTGAGATTTAAAGTTTGGTGTCTATTATTTAAGATCATTTTTTCATATTTATTTATTGGTACTAGGAATTGAACCCAGGGACAATACCACTGAGCTATATCCTAGCCCAACTTTTTATTTTGAGACAGGATCTCACTAATTTGTTTAGGGCCTTATTAAGTTGCTGAGGCTGGCCTCTTGCAATATCCCTGCCTCAGCCTCCTCCCAAATCACTGGGGATTAAAGGTGTGGGCCACCCGTCTGGCCTTATTTCTTTTTAGTGTAGTGATTTATTGCTATGACCCACTCTTAGTCCTTCTGCTATATCCCATAAGTGTTCACATGTTGTACTTTTGGTTTTGTTGATCTCAAATATTTTCTAATTTTCTTCTTTGAGCTAATGGTTGTTCAAAACTCTGTTAATGTCA